CCACTCTTCATGGGTCTTGACCGATGTGAAAACCCCTGGACGAATTGTAGTTCCGCATCCATTCCCAAAACTGGAAATTCCAGCCAAGAACCACACCCCATTTTGGCTGCAAACCAGGGGGTCTCCGATGCTTACCTAGAGATTCAAGAATAGCAAGATTACCATCTCAAGCCAACAAAATGGGAAGCTGCAGGGTAACATTTCCAAATCATAAGGAAGCAGAGGTAATGCAGGCAGAAATAAACAATGTTATTTGGGTTATCTGGATATTGATTCTAGAAAAAACTTATTACCAGCAGTTGTAAATAATAATTCAATTGTCCTTTAGTCCTCAAATATGGCTTCTTCTTATAATGTTCAAAAATTTTATGTGTTAAGTAAGAACTGGGGAATCATTTTTTATCCCACTTTATTCTGTGGTATTTTTTTTTCAATTTTCCATAATAGCTTTATCTTACATGCCTAGATAAGGTCAGCTAGATGCTATTTTGCTTAAGAGCTCCATTAATGATACTATCTATCAATAATAGTACGGTATTTCTGCAGTGTCTCTTATGTGACACAGATGAGTGAAAAATCTAGACTTCTTTTTTTGTTTCATTGACTTAAAAGAGGAAAAGATCTGAGACAGAACTTCTGGGTTTCATCTCCAATCAACATAAAGAATTCTATATTGGATTAAAGTTAAGAAACAGTCAAAGAAACAACTTGTGAGAGTTTATGGCACTTTGGATTGCAGGGTCTTGTTTCATCACCCAAAGGTTCATGCACATCAAAAGGATGTGCATGAACAGACAACAGTTGAAGTTGTGAGTAGGGGAATGACATAAATTTTAGGCAATGTACTTGATAAAAAGCACTTTGAAATGAGAAGCTGGTCACAGCCTTATGATGGCCCTGTATTGAATGTTTCAGCACCACAAACGATGGACAGCTCAACTATTTTAAAAATGATTTTTTTTTTTAGTAGCACAGCCTTTATTGTCATTGTACATCATGTATACAACGAAATTGGTTATTGCCCTGAATTTTGCTTTATCTCTGGTTAGGGAATATTAGTGCTTCAGTTAATAATGGGTAAATAATAGTTATTTAACTATTCAAAGTTTAGGGTATTTTCTGTCCATTTGGCTTTTTACTGCAGCAAGGAATTATAGTTTCCCTGAAGTTAGGAAAAAGTCTACACCAAACAGGTCAATTTGCATTAAAAAAAGTTCCCACAAATGTTTAAGTGCACCATTTTCAACATAATTTATCTTTGAAACATCTAACAAAACAGACCATATTTAAATCACATATTAATTTTAAAACAGAAGACATCAAAATCAAATATATTTGCTCCTTGCATTTTTTTTTCAGGGTTCAATCCAGAAATCTCAAATCTTTAAAAAGAAAAATCCCACTGTTTGCATAAATTCAGTCTTCTGGCATTGTGCTGCTCATAACAATTGATTGTGGGAATGGTCAGGGTGAAGGGCCTTGCTCTGATTCCAATTATTCTAAGCCACAGCATGTGATGAAAACTTTATTCCAGCAGTGGTGTCTTTTCATAGTATGCCCAAAGCTGCTGTATCACTGGTTAAACTCAGAGTACTCCTAAATTCACTTTAGTGTCATGTTTCCCTGAAAACAACACAGGGTCTTATATTCTTTTGACCCCTGAAATAAGCACTTGACCTTTTGGGGAGGTCTTATTATTTTTGAGGTACAGGAGGCGGCGAGTGTGGTCACCTCATGGCTGCTTCCCTGTTGCAATATTTTCAGGGAGGGTTTATTTTCAGGGTAGGGCTTATTTTAGCACTTGCACTCAAAAGCCCGATTGGGCTTATTATCCGGGAATAATCTTATTTTGGGGGAAACAGAGGAAAAATTTAGAGTTTGGCATTCAGGGGAAATTCAAATCCAAAAGCTGCACTGAAAGAAGCATTCCTATTCCCCATTCAATTGAATCCATGCAGGAGAATGAGGAAACACCACTGGTGTTTAACAAAAAAAAAGTTATTTTAGACCTGGACAATTCGGTTTTAGGGAGATAACCCAGCTCCCATTTTTCCCCCCACTCATATCATTATTGAACACCTCTAAGCTGAGACATGGCAATTCCTTACCTCACAACGCATGGATCTGTTGTGTGGCGCTGCACAGATCATCTCAGGAATGATGGGGGTTTTTCTCCCAGGGTCACTCGTCGCATTGTAGAGGCAGTTGCATTTCTTTGGGCCAAGGATTTTCGCCTGCACACTTTGCAGAGGGCTTGGCATCCCACCATCATCTGGATAAAGAGAGAACAATATTGTTGAATAGGGGGAGTAATTCTAAATGAGTGACATGGTGGCCTAGAGGTGGAGCTCTTGCCTTACAATCAGGAGGCTATGAATTCAATGCTAGGTAGTGGATATTTCTCTCTCTCTGAATGCAAAGAGAAAATATCTGCCGTGAACCCCATTTAGGCATCAGGAAGAGCAGCCAGCCAGCCAGCTCAACTCCATTCAGTCACCCTGACTCCACCCCAATGCAAGAGATCACATGGTTGTTAAAAAAAAAGGAGGGAAAGGGGGTGGGGTTAATTCTAAATCTCTAATCCCCTTTCCTCTTTCCCCTGCAAAGCACCATAGATTTCTTCAACATTAGGCAGCATCCTGAGCTGTGACAACCTCTCTTTTCGCCATATCTTGTATCAAATTAAAAGTTCTATTAAAAGCCTATCCTAGAGGAAAAACCCATCACCCTCTCCCATCCTACTGATCCACAACGTACCAATTCTCCGCCCACGGGTCCAGCAAGTCGAGCCAAGGGGGAACTGGTGGGCAGCATATGGGGCACAAATGGCCCAGATGCTGTTGTTGAACACCACAGGTTGCGCCAGTGTGGCTACTGCAATGTCGTGGCCTTCCATCATGTCAATGTAGAGACCGTGAAGCTCAATGTTTTTTAGAGTTCTCTTCTCTTGCCATTTTTGTCGCCCTCCTTCCAGATACTCTCCCAGCAATACCACCCAGCCTTCTGTTTCCTGGCGCCTGGAAAACACAGAAGGGAAAAGAATGATGCCCAAGTAAAACAAAAAAAAAGGAAGTCTGTGCGATCAGATTGGATTGAATACAGATAGTCCTCCATTTATGACACTTGGGACTGGAGCTTCTATCGCTAAGCAATGTGGACATTAACTGAGTCACATCCAACTTTAGAACCTCTTTTGCCCCGCTTCTTAAGCGAATGTATCTGGTTGTTAAGCGAATCATGTAGGTGTTGAAAAATCCCCCATTGAGTTTGTTTGCTGTAAGCCCGCGGGTGTCAGGTTTCCAAAAAAAAATGCCCTAATTGACATTACAGTTGCCAGCGAGAAGGTCACGAAAGGTGATCACATGATTCTAGGACCCTGCAATCGTCATAACTACATGCTGATGGCTAAGCGCCAAAGGTTTGACCATGTGATCATGGGGACACTGCAATGATCATCAGTAGGAGGCCTGGCCATGTCACTTTTTGTCAGCACTGCTGTAACGTTAAACTGTCATTAAACAATTGTAAGTCAAGGATTGTCTGTAATCACTTTGGACTGAGATTTTGGGGTTTGACTTGATATAAAGAGGGAGGGTTTCCAGATATCCTGATTTCTGTAAAACCAGGCCAAAAATTCTGGGAGTTGAAATTCTACCATAGTCAGTTTGGTTTGGTGGTTAAGGTACAAGCTAGAAATTGGGAGATGGGGAATTCTAGTCCTGCCTTAGCCATGAAGATGGGGAATTCTAGTCCTGCCTTAGCCATGAAAGCCAGCTGGGTGACTTTGGGCCAGTCACTCCCTCTCTCTTAGCCCAACCAACCTCCCAGGTTTGCTGTTGGGGAAAAATAGAAGAATGAAGTCACATTGGATATATTTGCCACCTTGTAAAAATAATGAAGGCAAGATGCAAATAAATAAATAGTCACCATCAGAACCAGACTGGTGCCAGATTCATTCATGTTTACGATACAGAGAAATGAATGGGTCAGGTTAACTAAGCTTGAGAACATTCAAAGGACACCATTGGTTGAAAAGAAGTTCTCAGATCTAATCCAGAGCCAGTGAGATGAATGTGGATATTGACCAACATGGGCTCTTCCCTACTCAAAGGCTGCCTCACCCCCATCTTCTACTCACCCGATGAAGCACTGAGCAGCAGTCAGGATGTGGTGTTCCCCAATCAAAGTGCCTCCACAGACATGCTGTCCTTCATACTGTAGACTTACATACCAAGGCCACTGTTTGTTCTCCTGTTGCAGGGCCCCACAGCCTGGAGATCAAAAAAGAACACAGGTAGTCCTCAACTTATGACCACAATTCAGCCCAGAATTTCCATTGCTAAGCAAGGCAGTTGTTTTGCCTCGTTTTATGATCTTTCTTGCTACAGTTGTTAAGGGAATGACGGCAGTTCTTTAGTTAGTAACCTGGTTGTTAAGTGAATCTGGCTTCTGATTGACTTTGCTTCTCAAAGTTTGCTTCACATATTGCCCGGAACGATGGGAACTGGAACACAATCACATTTGGAAGGTCACAAGACTCACTGCGACTGTCACAAGTACTTGCCAGTTGCCAAGTGTCCAAAATTTGATCTGGTGACTATGGGGATGCTGCAATGGTTGCAGTGCCATAACTTAGAACGGTCACTAAACAAGTGGGTGTAAGAAGAGGACTACCCGTAAAATGAGGCGCCAGTTCATCTTATGTCCCCAAAGGCAAGAGGTACAGTACATATATATGGCTACGCCCTTCATCACCTCTTCCACATTGGCAGGGCTGTGCCAGTCATGAACCCTGAACATCTCCAAGCGACGCACACAGGGTGATGCTAAAGATTTTCACAGTGTGTTGATGGGGACAATAAAATAAGAAGCAAAAGAGGCCCAGCGAATCACTGTGAAAGGGAAAACATTTTTTTCTGTTTTTCAATCCACACGTAGCCAAAAGGTTACTATTCCACATGAACGGAATTATTACCCATCCTTCTGGATGTGACCTTTGGATGCCTAGATGAACAGATAAGCCATATAATTCTCATCACAAAAAAAGGCACTGATGAGAGCATCCAGCTTTAAACTGTGATATGCCCAGATAAGAAGCAAGATTCAGATGGGAATCCTGTGGCCTGCCAAATGTGATTGTGTTCCAGTTCCCATCATCCCGGGCAACATCGTCAGTAGGGATGGAGATTGTAGTTCAATGTAGGAAGGGCTATTGATCCCTCTTCCCTCTGATGGACTAAATGGGTCTTAAATTAAGATTAGAACGTAGAGTAGTGTTACTCAACCTTGGCAACGTGAAGATGGCTGGCTGGAGAATTCTGGGAATTGAAGTCCGCCCATCTTCAAGTTGTCAAGGCTGAAAAACACTGCTCCATAAAATGAGGGGCAGTTTCACGTGGAAATTAAGACAGCAATTATACAGAATTGGTGACTAGTTAGAGCAATGTTTCTCAACTTCAGCATTTTTAAGATGTCTGGCCTTCAACATGGCTGGCTGGAGAATTCTGGGAGTTGAAGTCCACAAGTCTTAAAGTTGCCAAGTTTGGGGACCTCTGGCTTAAACCTTCCTTCTCTGAAAAAAGAAGACGCAGAACTGAAAGCTGGATCAGAAAGCTAGAGGGAGAAAGTATGGAATATCACCAAAATCCTGAAGGGAGGTTTTGGACAGGTGGGTTGTCAACGAAGGTTTTCACAGTAACCAGATGTGAAGGGTGCCTACCTCTGCACATGTAACTGTCAGTGGTGTTAGGTATAGGCTCAATCTGATTGGCAAATGAGGCTCCTTCAACATGATGCTGGATCCAGCTGGTGTAGGATCTCACGTCTGTCAAGAGGGTGGGTCCGTAGAATTGGGTACAGCTCAAGGAGGAACTCATGATCCCTGCCTGGAACCATCGGCCGTTTTCTAGGCAAACCAGCGGGCCGCCCGAGTCACCCTAGGGTGGAAAGATATATATATATATATATATATATATATATATTGCATTTTATCTGCATGCACAGTGATGTCTGTCTCCATTTCCTCCTTTGCTAACAGGTTCTTACTGCATGATCCACCAGTGGGAGCTAATGGCAAGGAGATGCCTCAGGCTGAACCTCCCCAGCCTTTGATGGGCAACAACATTAAGTTAAAAAGTAGATGAAGGGAAAAAAGATAGGAGCCAAGGAAAAGAATTATGAATTCATAATTCTTTTCCTTGGCTCCTATCTCTCTAGTTTTATTTAATTATGAGAATTATGAATTCAACTATGATAAAACCATCCAGTAAAACTTGGAAATCTGTTGGTCTTAATCATAGAAATACAGGGCTGAAAGGGACCTTTGAGGTCTTCTAGTCCAAACTTTTCTTGAAAACCTACAGCAATGGGGCATCCACAACTCCAGAAGGTGATTAATTAATCTATAGATTAATTATTCTCACTGTTAAAAAAAAACTCCTCCTTATTTTAAGGTTTGATCTCCTCTGATGAGCTTCCCCCCTCTGCTTCTTGTCCTGCCCTCGGGTGGTCTGGAGAATAAATCTAATTGGATGTTTCTAGTCTAGTGAAAAGGACTATGATGAAATGACAACAGTGTTCCAATATTTGAGGGGCTGCCACAAAGAAGACGGGGTCAAGCTATTTTGAACAGTACCAAAAGGCAAGACAAGAAACAATGAATGGAAACTAATCAAGGAGAGAAAGTAACCTAGAACTAAGGAGAAATTTCCTGACAGAACAATCAGTGGAACAACCTGCCTCCAAAAGGTGTGAGTGTTACATCACTGGAGGATCTCAAGAAGAGACTGGCAGCCATTTGTCTGGAACGGCATAGGATAGGGTCTCCTGCCTTGATCAGGGGTTTGAAGTAGAAGATCTTCTAGATCCCTTCCAACCTTGTTATTATGTTATATTAGAGTAGATCTAATTATCTCAAGTTATACTTAAGGCCCTCTGCTGAATTCCTTTTCTTCACCATGTTGCATTTCCTCTGTGCCATACAGAAAAAAATTGGAGGGAAAAGAGGGAACTGTACAACTTCCTGAAACATTTTCTAGCCTCTGAATTCAAAGATTTCCTCAAGCATTGCTGCAGAATCCCAAGTTCAGACCTACAGGGCTAGAAACGTGACTTACATTCTTTGCTTCAAAATTATCAACCAACTCTTCTCTATCAAGGTAGGGTCGTGTGAAAATATTTAAATTTAGTAGCTGGAAGAGTGGGGATGTACAATGAGCCAAAACACACAGTTGTAGCTGATTGGTTGGAGACGGCTGGCTCCTACATGAGGCAATCTATGCCATGATTGGTAGTTGTGGGTATGGAGGGGCAGTTTCCCTTTTTCCCTGCCTTTTTTTCCCCCCGGTGTGCCCTATATGCTCTGTGATTTACCTCATGATGCTTCTGTTTGCCTGACTATCTTGTTTGCTGCAAATATAGATGTAAAATACTGTATATTTATTTATATAAAACTATAAACTACAAGTTCATGTCAGTGACTTTGACTTCATTTGGACAGTCATAATTCCCCGACTGGCCAGCAGTGTTATTGTTACAAACTTTGTTTATATAAAGCACCACACAAGTGCTTTACATAAGAACAAACAAAGAGTATAGTCACCATGTGTTTTACTGCTCAACTATATTACTGCAATAGGAAACTACTTAGAACAAAAGAGCATAGAGTATGTATAGATCCAAACTTGTAAATACTGCCATCTACTGGCTGAATATGTCTGTAGTTGTTGCAATATAAAATACACCCCAACATGTATTCCAACAGTTAGGAAGCGGCAGACAAACACTGCCAGAGGTTGGGAGTATGATGTTTGACTAACCTTACAAGGTCCTCTCTTGCGGTCAGGAGTCAGGGCGCAGACCATGCCAGGCAAGGCAGGGTTGACGATCCGCCTGTTGCGCAGATTGCTGTAAATGCAGTTGCAGGTGTCGACAGTCAAAAGGTCCATGGTTATCTCTTGGAGGGGCTTGGGGTCTGGCAGGTGGACTGTGGGACAAGAAGGAATGAGGTTAAACCTGCAGAAACGGTAGCCCTAAACACAATATTTTGCACTGAAATACATGCATGCACACACTCTAGATAAACTCAAGTACACACACACCAAAACGTGCTTGCTTGCACATGCACTCATTCTCTTGCCTTTTGTGCAGGTAGTCCTTGACTTATGACCACAATTGAGTTTTCCAAAGTTTTTCTTGGTAAGTGAGAAACTTGTTAAGAGAATTTTGCTCCATTTTATGGCCTTTCTTGCCACAGTTATTAAATGAATCACTGCACTTGTTAAGTTAGTAACATGGTTGTTAAATGAATTTGGTTTCCCCTATTGACTTTGCTTGTCAGAAGGTCACAAAAATTCATCACATGATCCCGAGACATTGTAATTGTCATAAATATGAGGCAGTTGCCAAGCACCTGAATTTTGAGCATGTGACCATGCTGCAGTGGTTGTGTAAAAAATGGACATGTCACTTTTTCAGTGCGGTTGTAACTTCGATTGCTCACTAAATGAATATAAGTTGAGGACTACCTGTAGCCTCTTAGACACCTCCACTTCTCTTCGGCTTGGCTTCAGCCCCCATTTCTTCCAGGTTCTTTATGGGGCTGTATCCACTAATCCCATCAGCTTCCATGGATCCTGGGTTCTAATCACCTAGGGCAGGGTTGTCAAACTCAAGGCCGGGGGGCCAGATGCAGCCCATGGGGTGCTTAAATCTGACCTACAGGGCCACCCTGGAAACAGCCAATTTCGCTAGCAGAACTCTCGGGCCGCCACAGGCAGCCCTGACACAAGTGACATATAGCTAGCCACCCCCACTCTGCCTCCTGAAGTCAACACAACGCTGATGATCCCTCAATGAAATCGAGTTTGACACCCCTGACTTAGGGACTTCCTCTTTCTCAGTAGGCCAGTTTCTCCTCACAGAGGGAGAGAAAGAATCTAACTAGCAAGATGATGCCCAGTCATAGTTTTATCCACACTTAATGTGTCTAGAACCCCACCCAAACCAACCTCTGGGTGGGGCCTTTAGCCGGTCAGAACCCGGCTGCGGAAGTGGTAGGCGAGTGCATACATGAATACACACTTGCTCAAGCAGTGGCTGAGCACATGCACATGTGGTCCATTTGTGCAAGTGGTGTGTGTGTATGCTCACTGCTTGTGCAAGTGGAGCCGCACGTGTGCGCATTTGACTGCCACTCATGCAAAACCATCCCCTCTTCCTCCCTGCCAGTCCGCAAAGCCAGAAAGGATGGGGAACTCTGCCCTAAGGCTTCTCCTTATCAATAAGAAACTCCAGACCTTTTTAAAAAAAAAAAAATCTGTCTTTTACAGATTCCTGAAGCCAGATATGAAGACCCTCCAGGCCTCTCCACTCTCTAACCCCTTCTATTCACCATTGGCGGCGACGTCTCCCCAGCCAGTCAACCAGCACTGGGTCCCAAAGGCAAAGCGGTGCTCGGCGAAGGGCAGGCAGATGGGTGCAATGTCTTTGGTGTAGCGCACAGGCTTCGCCAGGCGCACCAGAGCGATGTCATGGCCTGTGATGTAGCTGGTGTAGTTTTCATAAGGGATAACCATGGAGACGTTCAGTTTTGTCCCTCTGAACCGCTTGCCAGTCAGCTTTATAGTTCCCAAGATCACGCTCCAGTGCTGCACGTGGATTTCTTTCCCAATCCTGGAATAAAACAACATCCGTGTAAGAGAGCTGTAATTCCGCCCAACTTTCTGCCATCTACACCTAGAATACTGCATCCAGTTTTGGTGACCACACTACAAAAAAAAGGGGGTTGAGATTTTGGAAAAAGTGCAAAGAAGAGCAATTAAAATAAAGCCCTGAAGAATAAAACATATGAAGAACGGTTGCAGGATTTGTGTTTGACTAGTTGAGAGAAAAGAAGGACTGGGGGGACCTGATAGCAGTGCTCCAATATTCGAGGGGCTGCCACAAAGAAAGTCAACTTATTTTCCAAAGCTCCCAAATGTAAGAAAAGTAACAATGGATGTAAACTGATCAAGGAGAGAAGTAACTTGGAATCAAGGAGAAACTTCCTAACAGATCAATTAATCCGTGGAACATGTTCAGAAGTTGGGGGGTACTTCATCACTGGAGGTTTTTAAGAAGGGATTGGACAGTTATTGCAGGGGGCTGGACTAGAAGACCTAGAAGGTCCCTTGCAGCTCAATTCAGATTCTGATTCTGATGTGCCAGACCATAATTCCCATAATTCATGGTCAATATAAATGACTGAGGATGATTAAACACAGGGCTTCAACAGGAGGCACTGTGTTCAAGAAAGATTACCTTGGGGTAAATATTTTAAGTTTGTAATTAATTGATAGAAAAGAGTTGATCATTTTGATAAAGACAGACAGAACGGTTCTGAAATGTCTGTTAATTGCAGCTAGTCCTCGACTTACAACCATTCGTTTTGTGACTGTTGAAGTCACAATGGCACTGGAAAAAGTGACATGACCATTTTTCATATTTAACAACTGTTGCAGCATCTCCCATCACCACATGATCAAAATTCGGGTGCTTGGCAACTGGTTCATATTTATGACGGTTGCAATGCCTCAGGGTCACGTGATCACCTTTTGTGACTCTGACAAGCATAGTCAACGGGGAGCCAGATTTCACTTAGCAACCGTGTTACTACTTTAACTGCAGTTTTGTTTAACAATTGTGGCAAGAAAGGTCATAAAATGGGAGCAAAACTTACTTAACAACTGTATTGTTTAGCAACAAAAAAAATTGGGCTTAACTATAGTCATAAGTCGAGGACTACTTGTATTATTTTCATTCAGGGACACCTAAACTAGCAGTCCTAGGCATCCCCAGGGGAAATTGTGCACCTATCTTCTATCTTTCTGGAGAATTAGTTCCAGAGTAGCCATCCCAATTATTTAGTTTGGTGTTCAGCAGCTACTGGCTCCATTTAATTCAATTCCATTTGATTCAATTCCATTCAATTGTAGACTAGTACAACAGGAATACTCTGTGAATAGCTAGATAGACAGGCAGACAGACAGGGATATGGATGGATATTAGTGTGTCTGTGTGTCTGTGTGTGACGAAGAACAAAATCAATTCTAAGACAAAGTTAAAACACAGTTATTAAATAATCTAACATTAAGTGAGGTCCAAGATGCAGCCTGTATTAAATTCTAATCTAGAGTCTAAAATTACATTAAATATGTAAAATTACAACAAAGTGATACTATCAAACATTTAAATGAATTATAGCTACAGAGAATGCAGAAGCAGAATAGCATTACAGAAAATTGGCCTTTTGGGGTCCAATGGATTTTTATGCTGCTGCCCCAGTTAACTACATAAGTTGAAACAAAAGTAGCTTTCTACTGCCAATTTAAATCAAAACAGTCCTCAGTGGGAATGGTGGCAGAAGTAGGTTGGGCTACCAATGAGTCACCAGAAAGTATAAGGAACTTTGTCAGGCTAAGAGGCATATTAAGGGCGTGAAGAAAAGGGTACCCATCTTCACTTACTCGAAAAAGCAATGGGCAGCAGTGAGAACCCATTGATTATTAATGAGGCTTCCTCCGCAGATATGTTGGTTCTGATATTGGATACTGGCTTGCCACCTCCACTCGCGAGGCTGGGCATTCACGCCCCCCGCTATCCTTGGAACAGGTCGTTGAAGTCCACATGTTAATGCTGGATGGGGAAAAGGAAGATTAAAAAGGACATCTTATTGAGAGGTTATCCAATTTTGTTTTGATGTTTCGGAGCTAGTGTTGACTCCTGGGAATGAGTCCCTGCGGTTTTCTTGATAAGTTTTATGGAAGTGGTTTGCCCTTGCCTGCTTCCTAGGGCTAAGAGAGAGTGGCTGGCCTGAGTCATCTAGCTAACTTCATGCCTAAGGTGGGATCTAACTCAGGCTCCTGGTTCCTTGCCTGGTGTCTTAAGCACTGTACCAAACTGGCCCTCACCTGATAGAGCAGGTTTTCTTAACCTTGGTAACTTTAAAATGTGTGGACTTCAACTCCCAAAATTCTCTTTAAAATTATTGAAAGTATAATCAGTTAACCATATGGGATTAATAGCAGTAAAGTCTTGCATCATCATCATCATCATCATCATCATCATCATCATCATCATCATTATTATTATTATTATACAATTGTATCACAGCGACCAGTTGTTTCGCTGGATTTGGCATTGGTTACTAGTCGGGCCCCACCCAGGTGCCTAGGACGTCGTAACGTATTTTCATAATATGCGTGCTGCAGATCCAAGCAGTGCGGCTTTTTGCATTTGACTGATGGTGATTTTGTCAATTTTTAACTGTTTTAAATGTAATTCCAGTGCTTTTGGAATAGCACCCAGTGTGCCAATTACCACTGGAATTACCACTGCTGGTTTGTGCCATAGTCGTTGAATTTGCTGCCCATCTCAATGTTTAAGGCAACTCTAACTAGGGAAGGAAACTTGACTCAGATACTCACAGAAAAATGTATTTGTCCAAGTTATGAAAAGGAATCCAATTTACAATGTACTGTAGTTAAGGGTTTTCTTCCTTTTTGGTTTGTATATTGTTTTCTACAGATACAGTGGGTCTAAATTTTCACTGGCAAGAAAGAGATCTTACCTATTTTACAAATACAGATTTGTTCTTCCATATGGTACATGGAGTCAATAGCAGTGGTGGGCATAGTGTGGCTTTGTAGGTGTGGAAGGGGAAGGATACTGCAAAATCCCCATTCCCCCCCCCCCCATTAACCTGCTTTCCGGCTCCGTTCTCTTGTTCAGGGGAACAAAAGAAGATCAGCTGGGAGGCAGCAGGGCAGGCCCAGCGTATTTGCTGGTTCTCCTAACTACTCAACATTTCTGCTACTGGTTCTCCAGAACTTATCAGAACTGGCTGAATTCCACCTCTGGTCAATAGCCTTGGAGGCTGCTAGAATTCTGCAATCTAATATAGTGCCTTTAAGAATCCCTGTTATTTTCAGCTACCACTAAATGAAGAGTCTGCTTTTCTCGTAACGCCCTCTAGTATCACTGTTGTGCAACAAACTGTCTTTAAAACAATGGTGTCTGTTCTCACCAGCTTTTTAACTCAACGGTCTTGCCTATTGCCCTACATCTATAAGTCTTAGCTAGTATTTTCTACCGGATTTGACCTATTTTTCTGAAAAGCTGGCCTCAAGCCACATAAGGATTTTCCCTGTAGCCTTGGGCACATTATCGCTGGAAATAAAGGTGGCTTTAAAAGTCTTTTTCTGGATTTCAATCCCATTCTCCATTCTCCATAATGATAGCCTGATGTTCTGTGGCTTCCGATTGTTCTTTACAAGGAAGTAAGGGAGGGAGGGAGGGAGGAAGGGAGGGAGGGAGGAAGGAAGGAAGGAAGGAAGGAAGGAAGGAAGGAAGGAAGGAAGGAAGGAAGGAAGGAAGGAAGGAAGGTGTTCTGACCCAGCTCCCCAAACATGACAAAGCCTCTGAAGTGAATTCAAAGAGTCCTTTAATTAGGAGTGCCGGCAGCTCCTGCAAAAAGTTTCTCTCTTAAAGCAGGCTAACAAGGCCATCTGTCCAGAAGATGAATAGTTGTCTTCCACATCTATTCATCTCCGGCCCCTGCCTTTTATCCCCAGAGCTAGGGTGGGGCTTTGTTAGCAGTGGTGGCTGTTCCTTCCCAAGGACTCTTTGA